CCCCCCTCCCCCTCCCCCTCAAACACAGCTTGTTGGTAATCGCCCCCCATGCAGTAGTCACTCCCATACCCAGCCTCGATTTTCTCCATGTGTACTTTGTGGGCAGGATAGGATTCATGGAGAAGAAAAGGCGGGGCATTTCGGAGAATGTATGGGGAATTTACGGGGTATGCAGTGATGGAGATTGTATGGGGAATTTTTAAGGAGAAATGGCCTATCCCGCCCAAAAAGTCGCTCCCATGGGAGACTTTCCCTGCCAAGAGGAATAAACGGGGGGGAGTTTTACGCTATTTTACGGATAATTTATGGAGACTTTTTACGGAGGGGTTTACCACAAATTACAAGCGGAGGATACAGATTGCGTTCTTCTCAGAATAGGATGAACAGAGCCTACGAAGACGGCTATATGCAGGTGAGGGGCGGGGAATTTACGCTATTTTATGCGGAGAATTTGTGGAGAGCCTACAAAGACAGCTATGTGCAGGCGAGGGGCAGGGAATTCATGCTATGTTACGGAGACGGAGAAGTTGTTGGAGACTTTTTACGGAGGGTTTTCCCACAGATTACAACGGAAGGATACATACATATTGCGTTCCTTCTCAGAATAGGATGAACAGAGCCTACAAAGACGGACTATGTGCAGGTGAGAAGGGGCCACCAACCACGTCCGCTGGTCTAACCCCTACCCCCTCCCTGTCTGTTTTCGCTGCAGTGATCGGCTCAATCCTCTACAGAGAAGGACCAATGGAACAGAGGCATCAAATACAGAGAGAGATTTTGAGCACAGAGCTAGAGTCCAAGAGCAGTAGTGACAGGCATCAAATCTGCTTTTTTAAGCCGCTCCTCGAGAAGATCTCAACTGCTATAACATGCTCGAAAGGGACCTGAACTTGTTCCTTCCGGTCTCGTACTCTGTCATATACATGATCATCTGGAGCTTGGTGGGTGCAACTCGTGGAATTGCCCACCCACCATCGCAGTTTCAACGATTGGGGTTTCCCATGGCCCACCAACGCTACCGTCGTCACCCGACTAGAACACCTGGTCATTAATTAAAATAAAATTAAAAAAAAACGCCTGGTCATTATCACTGGACCAGAAGCTGTGCCAAACACAGGTATGAATGATGACCCTGGGCCGGGGCGGGGTGGTGGTGGTGGTGGTGGTGGTTCTATTCGGCTAAAGACGCTAATCAAGTTCTGGCATCACATGCACAATTGTTGGCCTTATAGCACAGGCAGGCAAGAGTCCAAGAATGATGACACCGCCATGCTGCGACCCTCGGAGCGGCAGGGGAGTTCTCTTTCTCCTTCCTTCTCTTGCTGGGTGTCCCTCCGCGGTACCAACTTCTGCTGCGATCATTAGTTTGCCTCCGAACACGGAGACAGTTTTGTACCACGTGCTTGCCATCTTCCCGGATGGATATTCGACCAGAACCACTTGTTCCGTTCGATAGACTAAGTTACTTCTGGGACACGTCGTGTACCGCGAAGTGGGCAGCCTGCGATGAACTCCTCGTGAGCAGATCTGACCAACCCAACCAATCATACCGTTGGGAAGGGTGAGGGGAACCGTTTCAACCATAATCCCAATCCGTCACGCAGGCTCGGGGCGATTTGCAATCCTGTTAACTCACTCAGCTCTACTATCATTAGATCGGGCGGGCACTATACGGCGAGCGTATAGTACGCGTAATTACCCCGGCTAAATGACCCTGAAAAAGGCCCGTTGAGTGCTATATATATACATATATATATCGTCACAAACAGAACTGCCCGGTAAACCGTAGGCAGAGAGAGAGAAGAGGACAACAAACGAGGGGCTGTGACGATATATATATATATCGTCACAAACAGAACTGCCCGGTAAACCGTAAGCAGAGAGAGAGAAGAGGACAACAAACGAGGGGCTGTGACAATATATATGAGGGAACTTTGACCATATATTCTCACATGGTACTACCGAGGGTCAACGCTTAAGCAAGATTGCCAGAAAGACTTGGAGAGCAACGACTCTTGAGACATGGATCTGATACGATATCCACAGTGTCGCGGTCGCCCATAAAATGAAGAAAGCCATTTTGTGAAAAACTTAAGTCTGCCTGGTTGGCAAGGGTCTGCCACGCCCTCCGATATCCTTTTTGTCTAGTCTGACGACGCCCGATCATTTGTTTCCATGATCCTTCGTTCGTCGGCTGCGAAAACGACCGGCCGACTGCTATATGTGTCACTCACTACGTGGGTTGGGTGAGATTGCCTGCAGTGGTCCTTTCAGAGATCTCATGAGAGTCCTGTGATATGCATCACCACAGCTTGCGATGAACTCCTTCAGAGATCTCATGGGACTCTGCTCTGTGATATGTATCGCCACAGCTATATGTGTCACTCACTACCTGGGTGACTGGGTCAGATTGCCTGCTCCTTTCAGAGATCGCATGAGACTCTGTGATATGCATCACCACAGCTTGCAATGAACTCCCATCTCCATCTCCCTGGCTCGCTCGCACTGATCTGCCGCACTCTCTAATATAATTAAGCCTTTGCCTGCTGAAGGAACCAATGGGGTGGGTCCACCCTGGCACGGGCCCAACGGGACCAATCACGGGCCGCTGCTGGTGATGCCGTGACATGTCGGGGATGTAACGCTGCTGTCCTCAGCATATTAACAGATCTGCTAAGAAGTAGGGCTTTTTGCGAACCGTGATCATGGTATATCGAAATGATGGGGGGTCCCCCCTGGCACGGGCCCACCGGGACCAATCACGGGCCGCTGCTGGTGATGCCGTCGTGACATGTCGGGGATGTAATGCTGCTGTCCTCCGCATAACAGATGTGTTAATAAGTGCGGCTTTTCGCAAACCGCAATGGTATATCGAAATGATGTGCCCCCCCTCCTCTCCCTCCCGTGCTGGACTCGTACTCGTCTTCACTGCTGTCTTGAAATGGTAATCGCCGGAACGCCTGCGAATTCGGGGACGAGCCAGACGAGCTGAAGCTTGGAAATGCGAAGGACCGGCCTGCAGACATCGGCATTCCCTGAGCGGGCTCTCCTCCCTTCGCATCCCCTCGCCATCCAGGCAATGGCAGTGGCTCCGATCTGTTTATCGGACTAGATCCCAGCTCAATCCTCGTTCTCTTCCAGCTCAACAGAGGATCGTATGGATCGTTGTTCGATGCCCTGACCAAATCCGATCCCTCGCCAATGGGCTTGTTGACATTGCTGTCCTCTTGTGAAGATGAGGCAGTCCTCGTTCCAAATTCTGACAAAAGGGAGCGGCCCCGGATCGCAAAGGACCTCTCGGGAATCTCACTTCCTCCACGCTCAGCATCACCGTGCCCTGGACTCTGACGGTGGGATGGGTGCTGCTTATAACCTTTCGAACGATATGTACTCAGCTTCATAGATCGAGAGGGTCGCTTCAGTGGATTTCCCAGTATTCCTCTTTTAGAATGTGGGGCGCTGATGCTCCTCCCCCAGCTTTGCCGTACACCACCTTCAGCTGTAGACTGCGCAGCTATCGACTGCTTCTGAGACGCATTCTCCAAGTACTCACCATACGTGTGAAACGGATACAAGTCGCTGTCGCTAGCAGCAACTCGTTTCTTCCTCCTTCCCGTGCTCCCATCCCTGTCCCTGCTATCATCTAGTACGCTGCCCCTCTCCGAATCAGTCCAGTTGCCATGCACTGACCTCTTGGCCCTTGAATATTGTCGATCGTGCCGACTAGGAATATCTACCGTCAGATTCTGCACCTGAGATCCCCCAGGATTTGGTGGTGGTTTGAAATCTGTTTCCCGCAGCCGGCCAGACGACTCGGATGGTGTGTCAGCGATCTTTATTTCTCTCCTTCGACCTGAGGCTCCTCCTGCGCCGGAATTTTGTGGTGTCTGTCCACTGGCAGGCGACGGAATCGCTATCCTAGTATCGGGAACCATCGCTGCAGGCATTCTGGTCCTGACGCTCCCCTTGGGACGGCCTGCATTTGCAGTCGGACTGATATCCGCTCCACTCGTTCTTCCCCTGCTCAATGGCGGAGACTCTCGCGAAGGGCCTACCGCAGGCTCGAAGCGCGGTGAATTTGCCTCAGAACCAGCGGAGCAACCGTGCGCTTGCTGATGCTGGACCGGTGCGTGGGAGTGACGTGGCGACTGTGGCACAAAAGCAGCAGCAGAAGAAGGCTGCGGTGATTCCGTATCAGGCATCCGTATGACCGCACTGCTGGCCTTCACCGCCGTCCTCTCGGGCAATGGAAGATTGAAACCTGTGCTAGGCTTCCATATTTCCGGATTCAGTGGACTCGGAGGGCCCCCCATCAGCAGTGCCCATGGATTACTCTCAGCCATAGAAGGTGTGGCATTCCTCGAGGGTCGGTACTCTGACCGCCTGCTTCCCTTCGGAGCAAGGTTCATTCTCTCCAATTGCTCCCTCGCCTCTTCCATTTCACCCACCTTCTTCTTCAGCTCCACAAACTGCTCTGACTCCCGGTAATGCTTCTCCAAGTTCTGAAAGGAAAACAGTCCGATCGAAATAAACATGGAAAGAAGAAGAAGAAGAGAGAAGAAGAAGAAGAAGAAGAAGAAGAAGAAGAAGAAGAAGAAGAAGAAGAAGAAGAAGAAGAGAGGAGGAGGAGGAGAGAAGAAGAAGAAGAAGAAGATTCTGAAGATTCTGAAGAAGAAGAAGAAGAAGAAGAAGAAGAAGAAGAAGAAGAAGAAGAAGAAGAAGAAGAAGAAGAAGAAGAAGAGAGGAGGAGAAGGAGGGGAGAAGGAGGAGAGGAAGAAGAAGAAGAAGAAGAAGAAGAAGAAGAAGAAGAAGAAGAAGAGAGGAGGAGAAGAAGAAGAAGAAGAAGAAGAAGAAGAAGAAGAAGAAGAAGAAGAAGAAGAAGAAGAAGAAGAGAGGAGGAGGAGGAGAAGAAGAAGAAGAAGAAGAAGAAGAAGAAGAAGGAGGAGGAGGAGGAGGGAAGAGAGTGGCACAAAGGAATAATTTAGTGGATACTATCCTGCTTCCACTTTCCTCACCTTCATCTCTGAGGCAATAGAGACAAAAAAGAATAAAAGTTATAAAACCGAAAAAGAGCCCTCCCAAGCAACATAACATACACTGTCATACAGTGTTTGCTATCATTTTCTTTCCCACAGAAGCTGAGGCAAAAAAGTAGGGGCCTCGCTGCACTACTCAACACTCTACTACATGCATTTGGAGGATTTCCGGACCAGGTGCATTCCAACGAGTCCAACATTTTCAACACCTCGGGTCCAGAAAAAGCGTCCCAATGCATGTAGAGTGGTGTGTAGTGGAGCGATGCCCTAAGACGGAAAAAAAAAAAAGCCTTCCCAAGCAACATACTGTCTTTGCTATCACTTCCTTTTCCACAGAACCTCCTGAAGTCATTCTTGCGAACTTGGGATGCTTAGGCAGCTTAGATCTCCAACCGTGCCTGACTCTCCGAGATCATCGGCGAGATGTGCAGTTCAACCTTGAATGGGGAGTTCGTGAAAGGGAGGTGTCGGGCAGGAAAACGATGTCAAATCAAAAAAACAAAAAACAAAAAAAAACAGACAATTAGTTAGAATGCCCCCCCTGTTCATTTCCTGCCATTTGAGAACCAACCAGATCCCCCCCCCCCCC